AGATAAGTCAACAATTTTTTTTATTTTAATAGCACTGCCCACTACATTATAAATATAAATATATCGATAAAAAATAAATAAATTTCAAATATCTAATTGCTAATACGGTAAATCCCTTTACATCACTAGTTATGTTGTAGCATAGGAGCTAAAAGTCCGGCGTGGCGGTTTTATTGACACTTCTGCCGTGACAAACAACCGAACCCTTAAGACAGTAGATTCTCACCATATAAGGCATTTATATTTGTATGGGCTCTCTAAAAAAAAAGTTTAAAGGAAACTTTCAGTTCACATAGTTATAACATATATTTGAAGATAACATAAACGTCAAGTAACATAAGTTTTTAATTAATTGTTATAATGTTAAATAGATCTAGAGCACCAAATAAAATTTAAATCCATTTTAAATTTAGTTATTAATTTCATTGTTAGTAATTTCAAATTTTAAATTTAGAAATGTGAGATTATCTATTCTCGCATTTCTTAATTTATTTCCAAATATTTTTCAAAAGTTGTATAAATTTTCAATTTACCGTTCAATATTTTTCTATTAAGGGCTGTCCATCTCCCCCGGCGTAGTATCACGTTTCGCACCTAAAGCAAAAAAGTGAAAAAGAATAAAATTCAAATCCCTCTAACGAACAGGCAATACTCAAGAGAGATCTGTTTTCCTACAGTTATTCCCAATATTCTGTATTGGATATCAGTAACACGATTACTGACCCGACCTTAATTTAATTACTGTGGTCGCCATTTTTTCCCAGCCTCAGGACCTTTACCTGCTTATTATATTTGGCGGCTTGCATTTCATTTAGTAGTTTTTTTTATTTATTGTTTTTTGAAGTTTTACTTCTTTTAGCACATTTGGAAAAAAAATGAGAGTAACATTTTTATGATGCGCGCGCACACCGACACCCAAAAAGCGACATGATGATGTTAACTGCGTTCTTTTTACAAACAGATAGTTGTAACGTACGGGATGAAATCTTTAGCTATTTTTATTCTGTTACGCCAAAGAAGTATAACTTATTACGTGCGTACATAAAAGTACCTATACACACACATTTTTTTAATCTGTAATAAGATAAGATTGTTTCTCCTGGAAGCTATTTAATTTTAAACATTTTTTTAAATGCCTAGCTTATGTATTAATTATGCATATCAATTTTGTACTAAACAGTTCATTGAAAAAAATATGCTTTGTTACTGGCCACCGATGTCCTTAGCTCCCTTGGGTAGAAAAAAAAATAAGATAAAGATAATCAGGCGTTTTTTCGATCTGAATTACGGTGGATAATTTGATTACCTATTGGTGGGCGAGAACCGTACCCTTAAGAGGTAATCCTATTTTATAGGTACGCCTCTTTAATTTGATAGTCTGAAGCTGTTTTTATGGAACCTTTTGTATTTATGTTTGTATTATTTTTAAGTATTGATTGATATTTGTTGTTCTTACATTAAGTTGTAGGATTAAATTAACTAATTTCATAAAACAAAAGCTATGAATTTCAGGCGATTACAAAATCTACATTATATTTGATCAATATAACTCTTAATGCAATGAATCAAGCAAATCTAATAAAACAAACCCATTTCATGTAATAACTATGAAAGTTACCTATATACATATTTGTCACTTGAGGATTAACGAATTTTTTTTATAAAATCAGTACAGAAAAAACATACCTTTATAATTATGGGTAAAAACATGCTATTGACGTCATTAGTACGCTGTTGACTTAGCCCGCCTTACGCCTCAATGAACATTGCTGGGCGTGGAGTTTACTGGGACTTAGCATCCCTTGCTTAGACCTTGTAATTATAATACTTTAAATAGGTATAATAATATTAATGCTCTGAAAAGGTAAAAACCGGGAACTGTAACTGTTCCGGGTTTGAACATCAACTTTATTCACTTTCTACGTTATGAAAAAAAGAAGTTTTTAATATTCTTCATAGATTCATTATTAACCAGCAAAGAATTTGATGATCAATTATGAAAAACCGGTTCCTCTCGATGAAGCTGTAATAAGCCAAAAGGTCGTTGTGTAAACATGCAAAAAGGCAAGATGAAACCAAAACAAAATTAAACAATTTAATAAGAGTAAAACAGACTGAATGGATTCGGAATTCGCCGACAAGGCTTTATTTGAAAAGACCTTTGAACTGAATGTCCATTTCCGACAACTTGAACCATTGAATAACGACTTGTCAAAGGCTGATGTCAAAATTTATGCTTTGAAATATAAAGCCTAAATTATAAATATGAGGCCTGATAAATAGTTTTGTCGGCATGTTGCCTAACATTTTTAAAAACTGAAAAAAGATCAAACTGGCTTCTAAGCAACAACTTATGAATAATAAAAACAAAAGACAACGAAATAAATATCAGTAATAAAATAATAATATCTTTATGTGAAATTAATTATGAAATACAATATAATTTAATACTAAAATTGTTCCTCGCAATGTACTTATTCTCAAACGCACGCAAATTACAGAGGCAAAGTAGTAACAATAACATTTGAATAGGACTCCATCGAGAATTGTAATAGAGTATATTGAAACTAATGCTGGCTCCGATCGAACTTATAATAACTCCCTATAACAATCCACCCCCGCAGAATTCGATAGCTACTATTTTTATTTGGCGTTATTGTGGTGAAAAACGTTTGATTTCAATGCCTACAATAGGGTGTTTCATCCCCTGCCAATTAATATCGGACACGGTGGTCATGATTGTGTCCTTGATGGACACATTTTTTGTTCTTTGTAAAGCCATGGATAGATCAATCTTCTGATGTACAAAATTGGTGACCTATATAAAATTACTACTCTTTATATAGAAAATATTCACTAAAATTGCATTTTGGGGTGTCAAATAATAATTATATTTTAATAATAAAAATGTTGTTATATCATTGTACTGGTTGTAAATTTAACTTTGTTGCACAAATTAACACAGTATTACAATATTCAAGTTGGGACAAAATGACATTAATAATTTATGCGACGACGGTTGACTCAAAACTTTTAACATATAAGTTGCGCATACAGTGACCTTTTCTGCGGCGAAAAAACAAAGCACAGATTTACTGTCATGCCGATGTAGTAACAAGCTAATTTAAACTTTTCGTTGAGTCCCTTTGAAGGGTGTGTCCCCCTACATCGTCACCTGAGGCGTTTGGCTAGACTATGAGTTTTCAATAAATCACAGATAACATATGCTTGTCTTATTCCACATATGGAAGCATTATAAATACACCTAGATTTAATTTTTTTCTAATTAATAAAGGTTTAATAATCTAAGAGATTTCGACGTATATTTCAAGAAATATTAAAGTGTAAGCCGGTAATTGATGTTATATTTAGTTTTTCCTTAATAATAATCTTTTGTCTATATAGTATATACCTATGTACAAACGATAAATATATAATAGCAGATCGATGTCAAGTCAATAAATTACTTCAATCAAATGAAATGTAATTCGATAGTGGGTGTAAGCCAGGGCGCATGTGATGACCACTGTCCACTCGCGTGCGGGGGTGTGGCTACCTGCGCCTTCTGATTTACCCCATACTCGATACCGTTCGATTTGATAGGCGATAAATTCACTCTACATATTTTATTTAAGACATAAATCTATATATGGCATTACTTTTACTAGCCAATAACAATTACAGATATATAGTCTTTATTGCATTGGTATTAAATAATTTGAAATTTAAGTTATTTTTTTCATATTTTTCAAATGTTTCAAGTTATGAAGCAACGGAGAGAAAGCAAAACTTTAAATGGAAGCGATTAAAAAACAAAACCATTTGCCACGAGCCATCGCCTAAATAAATCTTTAAAAAACTGACAATAACACGACACATTTACATAATAAACCCCCTAAACAAACTAGGTAGGACATTGTAAACAAAGCGGTCGAATCATGTAGTTTTTTCGCCATATTAATTTAGTACTCCGGTTACAATCGACCCCTGTAAATTATTCCGTAAGAAAGCACGGCCTACTTTCCTCACAAAGAGATTGAAGGAAAAATAATAATAAAAGCGTACGGAATGTAAGGGAGTCTGCATAGTACTTATGTAAAATTAGCTCGTACGGCTTTGATGTGCCGACCAATTGTGTGAGTCTTGAATATGAAAGTGCCTTTATAATTCTCGGGCGTCGATGCCGGTGTCGGCTTATTTATTAGGCAATTAAAGAGCTATGTGCCCTATATGTAATGCGGCTTCTTATGTAAAACGTGCAATTCAACAAGATGGGAGAGGTAGAGCGATATGGCAGCAGTTATGCACTAAAAAATATCGATAGATATTTGATAGCAAAACTAAGTAATTTTATTTAATTGTTTACCTATATGAAAACAATAACTATTTTTGAAAATCAACAGATGTCAAGTTAACGGTGCAACGTTCCACGAAAATAATTATCTTTGACAATTGCACAATCATCCGTATCAGTTGCTAAAATTACATATGATAGCTCCAAGGGCCCTTTCTATTTAAACACTTAATTATGCCAAGTCAAAACACAAGATAAATCGGACACATCTGTTGGAGCAGCGATTACCTTACCTGTCCTAACAAAAGTATGAAATAACCCCTCGAGACCACAAACTCTACACTGTCATTATCCATTGAAACATAAGTGGTCAACACCACAACTGACACCTTAAGTTTGACGACCGTGACTGGGACAAGATATAATTAAATATAATTTAGCACTTAAAGAGTTGAATGTGTCATTGTCCATATGTCGCTCAATATTTGGACTATAATTCCACTTGGATTGAATACCTTTTCATCTTTCGTCTGTTTAACTCAAGATGTCAATATTTTAAAGAAAATTTATTATCTGTTCAAAAATATATTTTGATTATTAAAATAATTTTTCTTCTAATTAATTTATTTTTTATAATATTAGGATGAATTTTGATCTATTACAATTCTACTATTAACCAAAAATGTATGATCCTTTCTATGCTTAGCGGATGCGGACAGCGCGGCAGAAGGCGGTGGTTCGCCCACGCCCGGTGTTACCGACACGCTCACGTGTGGAGCTTGTCGAAGGGCCTTCGCGTTGGCAGACATTGTGCGGTTCATCCAGCACAAAGTCTCCTCTTGCGACAAGGATCTAACATCATATCACTGTTATAGTGCCGGTAAATGCCTTATTATCTTTGTGGAATTTGGAATTACTTTTAATTATCAGAGAGAGATTTTTTTATTTATAGAGAAGACAGTAATACTGTAAATGATGTAATATGTTATGTATATTATATATGTATAGATAAGATACATATTTTTTTCAATGTCTTAACAAATTAAACAACTTTTTGATATGTTTTTATATTGCGCAATTCAATTTGAATAATAGCAAAACTGCAAATCAAAGCCAGAGATGTTCCATATTTTCGATAATTAGATTTTTTTATAAAATATGTTAATTTCTTAGGTCCCAACTCTGATCAAGAAGATGGATCACGGCCCGGACAGGTGGCGAGTACAAACTCTAGTGGTCGAAGGCCATCACTTCTCACAGCAAGGCGGCCACCGAGTACCAGGGTACATACTCCGCCCCTCGCTAGTCCCTCGATAGCTCCACCAGACCTGCTTGAAGATGGTGGCGCGTCAAGCACGCCTAAACGACTATTGGATGGTATGTTATTTTTTTTAGATAGGTATGTCTTATCAATTTCTTTACTATCATTATTTGATCTATTTTTTACGGTTTATTTTAATAATAATATTTAAAGTATGCTTAGGTCTAAATAAAAATATTTTGGCGATTTATTTTAAAAATATTTTTTTCAAGACAATTCAGCCCTTTTTAACGTTCTTTTTTTGGACACGGGCCTCCCTTCAATACGAATGGGGATCAGGCTATAGTCCACCATTCTGACCAAGTGCGAGTTGGCGGCCTGCACATGTCATTCGAGATAAAAGTGGTAATTATGTTGGTAATAATTCGCACATCAAAATACCAGAGATACGAGACCCAGTATTTGAACCCGCTTCACTCAGAGCGTCACCACTGGGCCACCACTGCCTTATGTAATGAAATAGTAAACTTAATTTTTTATTTGATAATCGGTATATTTTACATAAATATTTATATATTTATTATTTCTTTCCATTTGAATAACAAACTATTTTTCCTAGAAGCTGATGCTGGGGCATCAACGCCAAAACGGAGGGCTTCTACATCACCGATGCCCTCAAGCTCCCCTGACGAAGACATTAAACCTAAAATAAAACAAGAACATATGGATACCACAGCATCTCCTGAGGATCACAAGAAATCAAGAACTGAAGTAGCAGACGCAGAATCTAACACAATGCATAGTGGTAAGTCTTAAGATTTCTATAACCATATATATATTTATAATAATATGTAAGTTACCTGTATGATAAAAAAATATTAAAGCAACACAAGAGCCACAGATAAACAATTTTATTAATTGTTTAATATAATTTTAATTAATCATTCAGATTAAGAAACAACGAAATCGTTACTTATAGAAAAGCATAAAAATCTAGTAGGTAGCAAGATTAGATCAGGGCTTATTTAAAATGTTTGTGTCATCGCGTACTCTTTGTCCGATATTTAGGATTTTATTAATGATTTCTGTCCACTGTCAGCTTCAAAGGATTTAGTCTTTGGAGACAATTTTATCGTAACGCTCAGCTTTTGTCCATTATTGTGCAAGATGTTACACAACAATACCAGCGGCCATTTACAGATTGCTTACGTCATCATACGATCATACATTCTGGATTGAATCTAATCTTGTCACATCATGTACGCATTGATAAAAAGGGTGTTTAATTATCACAATGCAAAATAATACACTAAAATCAAGAAATATGTATATTTTTCATTTGATATGAAAAACTATATAATAGGTAACATGTTGTTTATTTTTTTAATCATATAAAAATACGTTTGCAACGCGTTTATTAAAATAAATGGTTACCACGCAAATTATTATTTATTTTATAGATTCAATTCTTAAGCAGTAAATCGTATTATGTCTCTAAGATCATTGACTTAATCCTTTGATAGTTTACTACTAGTAAAGAACAAAAAATATCATCGAATTGGAACATCTGTATAACCGAACAATCTTACGGGGGTGGTTCGAAAAATAATCTATCCGAGAGCATAACCCTTTGTGCGAGCAGATGTGCCGTCATTTGACACTTTTGTATTAAACCGTTGCACAACAAAAGCTTTCTTAAACCCGAAAATTGTGCACTGTTCAAAATTTTCGACCCGCATTTTGCCAAATGCTTTGGAATCTACTATGACTTAAGCGGTAACAGTAAATTTTAACAAATTGCCCCAAGAAACTCCCAAAAACAAAATATTTTATACAATTTATAAAAGTTTGGTAAACTCAAAATAAATTGAAATAGCAGTCAAATATCATACCCACAATGATATTGCCTATTGCGCTATCATCAAAATGTCAATTGCAGGTTTTGCTTCAACACCAGTTGTTTCGGCTTATTGAGTTTATCCTAAACGTTCATATTAACCCCTTCGAGTGAGCTGTCATACCAGCTATATATTCAATAAGTCATGAGGGTCTCACTGGTATAAAATATATCATTTTATTAAATTATAGTTATTGAAAACAATAGAAATGCATCTATAAATCTATTAAATTCTAAATTATTGTGACAATATGAATATAATTCTCTCGGTGACAGTTAAATCCTGACCTCGTGCCAACTTAAAAAGGGCTCTTTATTTAAAATGTATTATTTTGTACATATTAATTAACCCCATCGCTTTATGAATAGATAAAGGGGATGTTTTTGAAGAAAAAAATTATTTGCATGAACGCACGATTGACGTGCGCACATTGTTATCTAGTGCCTTTTGTGATGACCCTTATATTAACCGTAGCTGCGATGTTTTACAAAGATTCAAAGTTTCGAGTTTCTGTACTTGAATATCCAGCAGTCGTTCCATTTGTTTAAAGTCTTCTTTTGCATAACATTCAAATAAAGTTAATGTCATCTCACGTAATATAGATTTTAATACTATAATTGTCAAAGATGCTACCGAGGCCCCATTATAAAAGACGGTCTTTTTATAATTTTTTCAAAGATAAAAAATGTTTGGCGTGCTTCTGACACGTACACAACCATGCGTTTGCCGTGACCTACGGGATTTCTTTGAGCATGACACAATGGTTGAGGATATTTTTAGTTTTTGTACAAACGGGAAGGTAGCTAAGTGGCGGGTTTTAAATAAGTGGATTTTAATTTTAGATGTGACATGTTGCCTGTAAAGGTGAGGGGAATATTGTCTCGTGCCTATCGCGTGTCCTTAACTTATACTATGTAGTTATCTTTGGAAGTACTAAATAGGGAATATGACCAATCATTTTTAATAGCAAAGATTTAGCAAACTGGTTTTTCCACAATATTAGCTATATTCAATTTAAGTGTCGTTAATGTTATGACAATGAATTTTTCTACATGTGTACACAGTATGCCTTTGCAGTCATTACCATCACAATAACCCGCAAGAAACGATGGTCGTCATGTATTTGTATAAAAACAAATATTGAATCAGGTGTATATTGAGTCCAGTGTGTTTATTCTTTCGGTACACAATTTAATGAGGGATTGTTAGGCCAGCTAGGTATTTTATATTCAAATTAGATGGACCATGTTTATCTATTTGATAAAGATACGCCTACTCTACCAGTAAAATAAAAAATATAATTATAATAGCTTCCATATAAAACCGATTCATATCTGTGTCAGTCTCATTCCCCCTGTTCTCGCTGATAAAAATTATCCTTTTAAACTCCAAAGTCCATGGTCGACCGCATCGTAAAACGGTCGGTCAGCAGATTCTAAACAACAAAGCTTTTTACTTATCCACTCATGCAAAATAAACGTTACCACAAAAGCGGTACAACGAGTCCCTGATTCAGATAAATCTCTTGTATTTGTACACTAATTACGCATTCATAGACCGTTTTCTTGATCGCCCCCGTAAATGATTTCTCGCTAAGTTTCGTCTTAGATATTTCCATATCAAGACATGTTTTCTTAAGGGTCGGCCACAAAGGGCCATCTCGACGCCCAATCTTTAATCCTATCTCGGGACCTTTGCGGGCAAATTTAAATTTCTTTAGAAATATCGTCCTTATTATGTATGTGCGGGTTTCTATTCCTTGTGACATTCGTGGGCGAGATAACGTAAGTTAAGTCCGAGAGGAGATTGTTGAGAAAAAACTACCGCTAACTTCCACTAGATCCCATCTTCGATATTTTGGTTATTGAAATTTGACCCCAATGCAGTTCGCCATAAAAAAGTATTTCCCTCAAATATTTTTGGATTAGTACAACCTTATTTTGTATATGAGGTGATAAGTCTTTATGAAGGGTCAACCTTTTCTATAGTGGAGCTCACCCTTTTAGTGAAAAGAGTCCGTTGATAGCTGATTTAGGAATGGTGATAATGCATTCACTGTGTGTAAATATATCATAGATTTACCCTATGATAGATTGCCTGCAACGGTTAAATTCAGGATTGTTTGTATAATTCCATCGATTATTTTAAAGTTATCAAATTTTAACATCACATGGGTATCTACTGCCCTAAGCTAGGAATTTTTAAAGTAATGTTAACAGGATGGACCACGATTATGCAAGATGGTTAGATTGAGATGAGATTATGCAAGATGGTTAGAATAGTTATCACAGGTGCTGTGTATTTATGACATGGGGTCCGATAAAATGACCGATGGGGAGAATTCTTATATTAAAATTGAAAATTCAGTAAAACTTTCACGTTTTATTGGAATTAAAATCGAATATTAAATCAAGATTTTGGAATTAGTAGGGATGTTTCATTAGCTACAAACATAAATAACATCTGATTTCGAAATCAATTTTAAACTGCGTCCACTTTGATGTCCCTCATACTCCCCCTAACATTTTATTGTTTTTCCTTCATTTTTTGTAATATGTGGTAATGGTCGCTCCACACGTGTCGACAACGGTTATTACGAGTTTAAAATAGCCCCTCACATCTGGGAAAAGACGTTGCGGACCAATTTTGGAGATCACATTCGTTGTCTCGTAGAATTTTGAATTGTTTATGTAATGGAAAGCATGTTTGTGTTGATATAAGTGCATAATTTACTAAAAAAAGATTACGATTTATTTTTGTATTAATTTACCTATTTTTGTATATTTTTTTTGATACTATGTAAACTTTCGTTGTTTTTTATTCAGAGGAACTTTTAAAAATAAAGTTTACGTCGCGAACGTACAAACAGACACTTGGAAAATTTATACGAATCCAAAGAAAAAGTAGAATGATCCACTTCTCTATTATTATTTTTTGCAATACTTCAATTAATACGATTGATTGATGATTGTTGTTGTTGTTGTATGTCTTATATATTTTATATAATGTTATAAATTGTATAAAAATATGTTATTTTTAAATGAAGGTATGTATGTATGTATGTATTCAGCCCTTTTTAACGTCCCACTGCTGGGTACGGGCCTCCCTTCAGCACGAGGAGAATCAGGCCATAGTCCACCATGCTGGCCAAGTGCGGGTTGGCGGACTTCACATGTCTTTTGAAAACTTGCTAGATTCTCTCAGACATGCAGGTTTCCTCACGATGTTTTCCTTCACCGTTAAGACAAGTGGTAATCATGTTGGAAATGATTCGCACATGAAAATATCAGAGGTGCGAGACCCGGGATTTGAACTCACTTCATTCGGTTTCCCAAGCGAGCGCGTTACCACTGGGCTACCACTGCCTGAATGAAGGTATATTATAGTTTATCAATAAAATTTCCTACATATTTAATAAAATAAGTAAATCACATGAAATGTTTTAAAGCGCCTATTAATAAAATCACGCCCAAAGGCGGAACTGATTGTAGCGAGGGAGGAAACAATTTGCGGAGTAAGACGATAGTTTACTGAAATCACGGGTGCGGTGATCAGTGTCACATTGTATTTGCACCCTAATTGATTGAAAGTTAAAATTTATCCAAGTAATAAATATGGTGTTAAATATTCACTCATTATATTCAGATGGATAAAATACTTGTTGATAACAGTTTGGGTCACTTTGTTTCACATTCCAACCGAACGGTAAAACACTTGTGTACTCCGCGCCCGAGATACGCTCGGTCGAATCGGTCATCACATTATTTACTTTGCATATAACCTGGAGGACGTTTAACTGTGACATTTTCTGTACGTCATGTCTCGGAAAATCTTGTGCTAACATTGATGTTATTTCATATTTATTATTATCTTTTCTTATTAACTTATGATAAAAGAACCGTTTTGT